TGGAAGGAGAACTGACTCTGGGTGGTGAACACTATGTGATATATAGATGATGTATAAGAGAATTGTACAATTGAAACCTATATAACTTTACTGACTATTGTTGCCCCAAACTTTTTTAAAAACAAACAAACAAGTTTTATGATTTTAAAGAGATGAAAGAAAAGATGAGACAAAAACAAAAAAGTTTGCAGTCATTAGGTCCTGATTTGGAACTTACCTGAATGCTAAAACTTGACAGCCAGAAAAATAACTCTTGATGCTGCTGTTTTGGAAGAGCTGGTTGAGCTGAAAGACAGAGTCATGTTTATTTCCTCAAAATCCCAGGCTGGGTGGCCTCAAAGAATGCTGAGCAAACTTCCCTATTTTTTTTTGTCTCAACAAACACTAGCCCAGGTATCTATACCCAAAAAATGCCATGTTCCAGGGTATGATGTAGCTACATGACCCTGGGCCAGCTACTGGACTTCCCTGTGTCTATTTCTTAATTTGTAAAGTGGAAATAAGAACCTATATTCATGCATTGTTATGGAAAGTCACCATTTTACTACCTAGTACCCATAGGTCAGTCCCTACATGGGAATAGAGTGAACACAGCTCCATTCTCACCGCGTTCTCAATACTTCTCTTGTTCCGCTGGTGTTTGGCAGTGCCTGGCTGGGCTGTCTCCTGGAAATACAGTAGGTTGGTGACAGTGAAATTCAGCTGGAAGTGCTGAGGGCTGGGACTCCTTGTTGGTTTGTCTGTCGGCAGATGAACTGATGGCTTCACTTCTAAAATAAAAAATAAGTATAAAAAGCCCCATATCTGGGGAAGGTTTTAACAAAAAAGTCATTCTAGCCAGTCTACTTATTTCTGGTAATGTGACCTGAAATGGGTTTTTAAAGGTGGGATACAGAAGACCCTCCATCTATTTGTGCACCTTGAATATATTCATCTGTCTACTGTCCAACCTTCTTTCTTTCCATCAAGCATTGTGAGAGTTCACTAGGATGTCGGGAGAGGAGGCTGGGCCTCTCTGAAGCATAGTTGGTAAGGGCAGGTGCTGACCACCCCAGTAGGTGTCTGTCACACACCTTTGCTGACCCAGGCTCCTAATGTGTCTTACTGCCTCTGAGTGTGTTGTGTTCCTCCACAAACCTCAAAAAAGTCCCTGCCCACCTCTTTAGCTTCAACTGTCACCTCTCCCATGTCAAAACATATGTACCAGCCACACCACATTTCTTAGATTCCCTAAATATGCTATGATCTTTCAATCTCCTGGGTCAAAATCACATGTAGCACAACTATTCATCTCTTCCCACAAGCTAGGTCATGTTGTCCATCACATCTCAGTTTCTTCATCACTTCCTCATGAAAACATTCTAAGAAAGAGATGTGTGTCCCCCCTTGAGGTTCCCACAGGCTCTTGAAATCCCCTCATAGGAATTTTCACAGTGTATTATCAGTACCTGTTTACTTGCATTAAATACTTGTTGAATGAATGAATGAATGAATGAATGAATGAATGAATGAATGACTCGCAAACAGAGGGCCTAAGCAGGCAACTCAGGAGCCCTCACATTTTGGGCTGGAAAAATTTACACGTAAATGTAAGCATTCCTTTGAGGGTAACTGCTGTATGTTCTCTTCCCACCTCCTGTTGGATGACCCACCACCATGAGCATAGGTCATCGACATGGGCTTTCAAGAAGTACCACTTTTAGAATGAAATTGTAACATTTGCAATGATACGGATGGACCTAGAGAGTATTACGTTAAATGAAATAAGTCAGTCGGAGAAAGACAAATACCATATGATCTCACTTATATGTGGAATCTAAGAAACTGAATGAACAAGCAAAGTAAAAAGAAATAGTCTCTACGATATAAAGGAAAAACTGATGGTTGCTAGTTGGGAGAGCAGTGAGGATGAGGGAAAAGGGGAAGGGATTAGACAGCATAAATAGGTAACTACAATATTGCCAAAGGGATATGAAAGACAGTTTGGGGAATATAATTAATAATGTTGTAAATATTTTGTAAGGTGTCAGATGGTCACATGT